AAATCTCTGAGTTCTAAGCCAGCCTAGCCTACAGAGAGAGTTCCAGGATAGCTATGACTACACAAACCCTGTCTAGAGAAACAAAAAACAAAAACAAAACAAAACAAAAAACCGTGCTGGAGAGATGGCTCAGTAGTTAGGAAGAATGTCTCTTAACCTCTTAACTTCTTCCAGAGGTCCTGAGTTCAATTCCCAGCAACCACATGGTGGCTCACAACCATCTATAATGGGGTCCAGTCTGCTACATACATGACTGAGGCCCATATCACAACCTTTACCCTGCTACACACAAACCGTTGACTGAGGCCTATTAAGACAACAAATCTTAGTATGGCTAGCTTACTATTATGTTGTGCTGTGTTAAAATTTTGATGTACCTAGATGTTCTGTGTTTTAAAAATCAACTCCTCAAATGTATTTCTTTGCATGCTCTTATAAGCAAAGGTTCGGGCTGTTGAGGTGGTTCAGGGGCTAAGGGCACTGCTATACAGCAAGCCTGACAACCCAACTTCAACCCTCAAAACCCACATCAAGGCAGAAGGAGAGAATCAACTCTACAAAGTTGTCCTCTGACCTCCACTTGTGCACAGTGGCCTAGGAACACCCCCCCACCCCCAATCACCATAAATGAATACATTTAAAATATTGTTCTAAAGCAAGGGTCTATCTACATAAGAATTAAGGGACTAGAGGGATTGCTTAGTGGTGTAGAAACTTACCCATAATAATGTCTTCCAAACACCCAACTACAGCATCAAATTCTGCATCAGAGGCGGAGGAGCTGAAAAACACATGAGGAATAGGTGCCGGACCAAATAATTATTTTTGAAGTTGAATTTATGTTTTCTGTGGGGATTGAACCCAAGGCCTTGCTTGAGCATACTAGGCAATCACAACAACAAAGCGTTTATAATGTAAAATTTCCAACGTGCATAAAAAGAATCGCAAGATGAACCTCACGGCACTCAATTTCAGCAGTCAAGGATTACTGTCTAGTCTAGAAATTCTAAATACAGAAAAACATCCGTGACCGAACCCTAGGTAAGGCGATCACAAAAGCAGCAAACAATATGGATGTGGGGAGCTGAGGCTGGCGTAGCACATCCTCTGACTTCTGCATGTATTACCCGCGGGATCTACTCACCGCATACTGGCTCTTAACGCCAGACAGGTGTATCTGCTGGTGAGGGTGACCACCGGAGGAGCAGGGGCCCAGAGGGTAACTGGATCAGGAGTGGCCTGAGACGGCGGTGAGGCCGCCGCCAGCCCTGGGCAGCTCAAGCCCTCTAGGTTTCACTGACGGCCTAGACTGAGGCCAGAGTATTGTGATGGAAGCGCTGGTAAAAGGTGACACAGCCCCGCGGAGGCCGCGGGTGGGGAAACGCCCCGCTGGAGCGGAGCCCCGGTCCCGGCCTGTCCGGCCCGCCTGGCCCGCGCCCGACCCCGCAGGCGTCACTCACAAGGACAGCGCGAAGCTCTCTTCTTCGATGGCGTCCATCGTCGGGGCGCCCCAGTCACCGGCCCGGGCCTGCGGCCCCGCCGCAGCCTCCTACCGTGCCCGCCGCCGGGCCCGGCTCCGTTCTGGCCCGCGCCGCCTCAACCGCATCAAGGCCCCGCAGGAGGCCGCGCCCGCGCCCCGCTCGGCGATCGCGCGAGGCCAGGGCTGAGGCTCCCGGCTGGGCCCTGCGCCCGCCGGCCTCTCGCGGGGACACCCCCGCTACAGTCTGTTAGGGCCCGCGGTCCGCCGCAGCCCCGCCTCCTGTCACCATAGTTACCCCCGGCTCCTGCAGCCAATCACAGCCTCAGGTTTTCGGGACTCACGCAGAAGTCTGCAAAATGGTGGCGCTCTGTGTGTCAACGCTTGCAGTTCCAGGCTTGCAGATGAAGCAGTGGGAGCCAAGGGCCTCAATTTCTTCACTTGTAATTTAGGGGTAGTAGAGATTAGGTAGTTGGCCGGGCGGTGGTGGCGCACACCTTTAATCCCAGCACTCGGGAGGCAGAGGCGGGTGGATCTCTGAGTTCGAGGCCAGTCTAGTCTACAGAGCGAGTTCCAGGGCAGAGAAACCCTGTCTTGAAAAACAAAACAAAAAACTGCTCGAAAGTCAGTCGCTCATATTTTGTCCTAGATAATACAGACGTCTGATTTATCCGAAAGTTACTTCTTGGAAACATGGAAGATTCCATGGCATTAAGTAGATGTAATTTAACTTGTAATCTTCAAATCAAAAGCAAGAGCAGGGCGTGCATGAGTATGTAGTCCCAGCATTTGGAAGGTGGAGGCAAGAGGTTCAAGGCATTCAAGACCTGCTTCAGCTACAGTTTGCTGCCCGCTTACCTAGTGAGACTTCTATCTCAATAAGCACATGAAAACGAGACCTTAAATGGTTTCTTGGATAATTATGCAATTTCTTTTGTAAAAGAAATTGACAACAACTTGAAGTAATCAGGAATTACATAACTTTGCTCTGGGAAAAGTCCCCTCAAAAACTTTGATACGGTGAAGGCGGCTTTAGTGGGACTCCATATTACTATTATTTTTGAGACAGGATCTCAGTATGTAGCCTGGGTTAGCCAGGAGCTCACTATGGAGATCAGGATGACCTCAAACTGATGAGATCCTCCTCACTCAGATTTAATAGTGTGTACCACCAGGCCCTGGTTAGGATGGATTTATCTCAGTGGCTCACTAAGTATCTCTTTGGTGGTATGATACCTTTTAGCCAAAAGTGTAGTATATAACTAGAAAACTTAGGGAATGAACTGAAGGTCACAGGGCTAAACTGAATGAATCAGTAGACATTTTTGAATACAAAACGGGTGTCTACGGATCTTACAGCATCTGGAGTCGAGATTTCAAACACACTGTGAGTTCAGTCTCCAGAGTACTCTGGTTAGCAACAGGTGAAGACAAATGTGCTTGCTGGTTGGCTTCTGTCAAATTGATCTGAGTCACCCGGGAGGAAGGGAACTGCCACTGCATTTTTATTTATTTATATATAATTCATTTTTTAAAAATATTTATTTTATTATATATACAATATTCTGTCTGTGTGTATCTCTGCAGGCCAGAAGAGGGCACTAGACCTCATTACAGATGGTTGTGAGCCACCATGTGGTTGCTGGGAATTGAACTTAGGACCTTTGGAAGAGCAGGCAATGCTCTTAACCTCTGAGCCATCTCTCCAGCCCCTATATATAATTTATTTAGAGACAGGGTTTCCGTGTATAGTCCTGGTTGTCCTGGAACTGGTTCTGTACACCAGGCTGGCCTTGAACTCAGTGATCTGCCTGCCTCTGGTTTCCAAGTGCTGGGATTAAAGGTGTGTGCCATTATGGCCCCGACTTTGCTTGTGGATAATTTTCTTGACTTAATGGGGCCCAGTTCCCTGCGGGTGGTGCCACCTTTGGGCAGGTGTGGGCTATATAAGGAAGCTGAGCGAGCTATGGAGAACAAACCATATGCGGCCTTTGTCTCTAGTTCAGTTCCTGCCTTCAGGATCCTGCAGAGTTCCTGTCCCAATTCCTCTCAACGATGAACTACAACATGGTTGTCGAAGCAAACAAACCCTCTCTTTCCCCAAATTAGTTTTGGTCAGTATTTGTCACAGCTCTGAGAAGCTTATTTAGGATGACAAGCATCTAAAAATGATGTTCCATCAAGCAGTTGTGGGATATTTGTACATTGTGTGAGATTATATTGTTGTGACAGGTTTAATAAAGAGCTGAATGGCCAATAGCTAGGCAGGAGGAATAGGTGGGATTTCTGGGCAGAGAGAGAAAGAGGAGAAGGAATCTAGGCGCTTCAGAGATGAGACACAAGAAGGAAGCAGGACGGGTAGTACAAAAATAAGGTTAAAAAGTCATGACGCAAAATGTAATTAATATAAATGGGTTAATTTAAGTTATAAGTGTTAGTGGGACAAACCTAAACTAAGGCCAAGCTTTCATAATAAGCCTCTATCATTATTTGGGAGCTGGCTGGTGGATCAGAAAAAGTCTCGATAACGGTCAAGCACTGGTCAGACAGTTCAAACTCTCTAAGATTCTATTACACACTTTATATCCCACTTCCCTCTGTGCTACATGAACTAGCCTGCTGTTTCATGAACCACAACAGGAAAGGAATGGAATTTTGCCCCTGCTAGTTACCTATTGCTACTTACAACCCCTCCTCCCCAAGAAACCTAGTGGACTAAAACAAATGTTTCACTCATTAATCTGTGTTTTGGGAAGGCTTGGCAAGGACAACTCGCCTTTGTTCCATTTGGAGTCATCTGGTAGGGTCGCAGTGGAATCTGAGAAGCCTCTCAGAGAGCTCAGGTAGGAAGCAACCTAGTGGTGGGCCATGGCTAGGAGTTGGGCGGTGAGCAGGTAGGCTTTCTGGAGATGTTTGGGTTTTCTCACACAACAGCAATTTGGCTGAAGAGCAAGTGTTCCTGTTGGGCATGGGGAAGCATATCACTAATTCCATCACTGGGGAGGCGGAGGCAGGCAGGTCTCTGTTTGAGGCCAGTTTGGTCTATACAGGGAGTTCTAGACCAGCCAGGACTATAAGAGATCTGTCAAAAAACAAAAACAACACAACAACAAGCAGCCCCCCCCCCCCAAATATTGCAAGGAAGCAGAAGCTTTGAGCAAAACACTCGGTGGTTTCTTTGTGCAGCCCTGGCTGTTCTGTAACTCCCTCTGTAGACCAGGCTGGCTTTGAACTCAGAGATCTGCCGGCTTCTGCCTTCCAAGTGTTGGGATTAAAGACATGCATCAATATCTCCTGGCATAAAATAAAGTCTTTCAGGCTAGATAGATGACTCATAGGTTGAATACCTTATGCTCTTCCAGAGTTCAGTTCCCAGCACCTGTATTAGGCAGTTCTGTTTACTGTATTTCACTCTAGCTCTGAGATTCGACATCCTCTTCTTTAAAAAAAAAAAAAACAAAAAACTGGGATCTCTTTGAGTTCAAGGTCTGTCAGGGTTACATAGTGAGACTTTGCCTAAAACAAAAAACAGAAAACAAAAATACATGTTTTCTTTTAATTTAAAAAAATAATACATTTTATTTGTATATGTATGCATACACATGGCAGTGCACAGTGCATGAGGTCAGGACAACTTGCAGGAGTTGGTTCTCTCCTTCTACAATATGGAGGCCAGGGATCAAACTCAGGTCATTAGCTTGGTGCCAAGTGCCTTTGCCTGCTGAATGATCATCTTGCCAGCACTTTTTCTTTAGGAAAAAACGTCAAAAGAAAACAAAACAAAAACCCTTTCAAACATTTATTCTTCGTGTATGGATATTTTGCTTGCATATATGTCTTTGCACCACATGCATGCCTGTTGGCTGATGCCAGAAGGTGTTGGATCTGTTGGAAGTGGAGTTACAGATGGTTGTGAGACACCAATACCACACAAATCAAACCTGAGTCCTCTTGTATAGCCATGGGCTCTTACTCTATAGCCCAGGCTGACCTGGAACTCACAATGTAATCTAGGCTATCTTCAAATTCCTAGCAAACCACCTGCCCGTAAAATGCTGGCATTATAGGTATCAGCCACCATAACTAGCTACATTAAAACTATTTCTGCTGGGCGTAGTGGCACACACCTTTAGTCCCAGCACCTGGGAGGCAGAGGCAGGCAGATCTCTGAGTTTGAGGTCAGTCTGGTCTACATAGTGAGTTCTAGGACATCCAAAACTACATGGTAATATACCCTGTCAAAAAAACAAACAACCAAACCAAACCCAACAAAAAACATACACACAAAAAAAAACTATTCCTGTCCAGGGGGGTGGCACAAGCCTTTTAATTCCAGCACTGGGAGGCAGAGGCAGCAGGATCTCTGAGTTCCATGCCAGACTAGTCTACACAGCTGGTCCTAGGCCAGACCAGTGGAAGGTACACAGTGAGATCCTGCCTCAAAAGCATTTATATATATATTTATTAAAAAATTACACATATATTTCCTAAGTGACTAAGCAGTAGCACAAGATAAAAGAGTGGACAACACTGGAAAGAGCTGGTTTGTTTTCAAGGATACATATTAAAGATGGTTCAAATCATAAAAATCATTTTCTATTGCTGACCAACATGGTTTCAGTTTCTGTGGCACAATCATTATTTTCTGGAACTCTGCAAATGGCACCATGATATTTTCCTGTTTTACATCATTCAAAAGAAGATGGCAATTCACAATTTTTTCTGGCTGAAACTCTAGATTTCCCCCAGTGAATCACTGTGGAAATGCCCTAACAAATTCTTTTCTCCCTCTGACTTAGTGACTGAGTCTGCATGTGGCTTACCAATCCACTTCTTTCTCTTCTATATGCAGTATATATCTTTTAAAAGCGACTCCACGATAAATGTGCTTCCACTCCAAATGGTTAATCAATTCCCTACTGAAGCTCTTCTGTTCTATAGTCTCAAAGTTAAAAATTGGAAAAGCAGGCCACCTTAGGAACAAAGTTCAAGGGGAAACTTCTAGAAAGCTGGCAGGTTCCGCAATCCCTTAGCCCCTGTTGTATTAGATTTTCTGCTCCCCTAGCTCCGCCCCACTCACTCTATTCTATTCCCAAGCAGAGGGCAGAACCATTCTCTAAGAACACTATCCAGGCAGTTCCAAGCTTAATAAACAATTGCCTTTTTGTTGTATTTAGGAGGAAATACAAACTCCTTACCATGGGCTTCATGCACAGCCCCTGTGGCAGAGCACACTATTCCCACCACGTCCTATCTCCCCTGCACCAGCTTTCCTTCTTAGTGAGGACCTTTACACAGTGCTATGCCCACTTAGATACCTACTCCTAGAAGTCTGTCCTCATCCCGCTGCCTGGCTACATCCTTATGTCTCTCTTAGTTTTCTTCTGACAACTTCCCTTACCCATGTTACCCAAATATCTAAAGTTGTTCTGCCGCATTCTCCCCATAACTACGTACTTTTGGGTAGCATATTCTTATCCTTCATGGCACTATAAAATCACCACAGTACACAGAAATTATACTGCTTCTTCCTGCTGCTGCCCCGTAAGTAGATATCTGAGAAGCCACACAGGCACAGTGCCAGCACCTATTGAAGCCTATCAATGAAGAGCTACCTGATGGATATGTAATTAGCAAGACCTTACTATGTAAGTCCTGGCCTGGAACTCCTAGATTGGTCTGTCTCTGCCTTCCAGGTGCTGGAACAAAAGGCATGCACCATGCCTGGCTAAACTTAATTCTTAGTTTTCTTTTCCTTTGAGGTTCCAGGGAAGGAACACGTGCCAGGCAGTATTCTACCCCTGACCTAATGATCCAGTGCTATCCAGCCCTAACTGGAACTCTCTGTGGAGCAGTCTGGGCTGCCTGCAAACTCATGTGAATCTTCCAGTCTCAGCCTTCTGAGTGCTGGTATCACAGGTCTGACTTTCTTCCTTAGTTCTTACACTTCGTTCTCTCCTACCCTGAGAGTAGGAGCTTTAGGAGAAGACACCAATGAGAGCTGGGACGTGTTAGAGTAAAAAATGCAACAGATACTTTATTCTTCAATGCAAATTACTGCATTCACCACAAGCTGAAGGAGGACACATAACTCTATCTGTATATAGACTTATATATATATGTATATATTTGGATTTATGGAAGACCAGTGAGACATGGAAAAATCCAGCACCCCAGCAAGTACAGCCAGGAAGGCAGTCACCTCCGTGGTAGGACAGGTTTAATGAACTACAAACAAGAAAGAGGGAAAAGGAAGGAAAAGAATGTGCAGTGAATTTAAGACACCGTAAAACTCAGAAGACATCTACTGTTCAAGTATAAACTCAGTAAGGACTTGGCATAAATTGAAAGGCAGTTGCTGAGGTACACCATTATGAAATAAGTCTTAAAAAATTTACAATTCTACCTTCCAATTTTCTTGGAGAAAAAAAAAAGCAAGCTCTTGAGGTCTTCACCAGAGACCCTGAGAGGGATAAAAACACTTGATGAAGACAGAGTCAACAATTCATGATTGAACTTGCTACTCAAAAACATGTATTTATTTAAACAACAGGATATGTGTTCTCAGACTGTCCTCTAGAGACTATTAATTCAAGCGTTTCAAAGTATATGATTTCCAAAAACAATACTGATTAAAAACTTTTTAAAAATAAAAAAAAAACCTGATTTGATGGTACCTCAAAGATACACTAACTACCAAATTTTTTCCAGTCTAACATTGCAATTGGGTTAAGAGTTCCTCCTGCATTGGTAAAACATTTTTCCTCACAAAATGTGGGTACTGAAACTGGATAGAAACACCATGAATGTGAAAATACCACCAATTTTCTGTAGCCTAAAAAAATTAGAATGTTCTTTGGGATCACTAAAATATAAAAAAAAAAAATTGTTTTTTTTTTCCTTGTTTGTTTGTTTTGTTTTTTCCTACAGTCTGTGCACCTTCTTTCCGCATCTCCATGTTGCTTGAAGTAATGACCTGTGTGATGCTACGTTTATAGATTCAAGTCTTGCAGTGCAATATCCATGCTTAACACACCGGGGTTTCTCTGATCAATGATGCTTAACCCAGACACGCTGTCAATTATTTCTCCAAAATGACTTCACCCCAAAATAAAAACTGTGGACTAAGACGCAAACACCTTGTGTAAACAACCAAATGAACCCAACAGGAATTCCGGCGTGGCTTCAGTATTCAGGAGACCCTTGTCACCTGCTGTTTTTCATGGAAGTACCACAGGCCCAGCTGCTGACATCCGGCCTCCTAGGCCTCAAAAGAAATTCAGGGCTGGCAAGTTGGATTAGATTCTAAGAGAATTTGTCTTTGACAAACTACCAATTTTAGCATAAAATCTGGCCATGGCTATAAGTTTCAATGTGCGTACAACTGGTAAGAGATGTTCGTGTGGTTTTTTTTCTTTCCATTTCCACATTGTTGGAATCGAGTAGAAATATGTCCATGGTATCTCTTCACATGTGTCATGAAATATGAGAAATCTGTCTGATTCTAGACACTATTTCTTTACGACACAATGGGCAGGTCTCCAGTTGCAAGGCACAATCCATGCACAGGTCGCTAAAGGAAAAGATACAAATGCCAGTTAAATTAATGCTTTAAAAGGTCAAACTCTACCTGCTGGCTAAGTCTGAAATGTTAACAAGTCTGTTGGAGAAAGTGTACAAATCATGCAATCATGCATAGTTTGGAAAATAACATGAAGAGAATTTATAAATAAAAATTAAATCTCCCTCCTATTTTTGATCCTCCATCTTTCTCCTCTGTGGGTTAAATAAAAGCTCATCTTTCTCAAGAAAATCTAAATGTACAAATTACACAAACACACACATGTTTGTGTGTGCTATGTGTGTGTGTATGTTTAGGGATATATGCTATTTATCCCCTATCAGCTAGTCATTTATCCCAGTAATATTTACTTTTTTCATCACAGATATGACCTTATTATATAATAACATGTGACTAATTAATATGACTAATAAATGCTTTTAGTATATATTAGATTTTCAGTTTATTTTAATTTTTCTCTCATATAGTACATTCTGACTGCAGTTTATCCTCCCTCAATCCCTCCCAGTCCCTTCCCCAATCTTTCCTCTCCCCTAGAACCAAGCCTCCTTCCTCCATTTCCTTTCCAAAAAAACCTAAATGCCAAAAACCAAAAAACAAAACGAAAAAAGCAGGTCTCCTAGGGCTATCAACTGAACAAGGTCTAAGAAGTTAAAATAAGACTAGGCATAAACTCTCATATCAAGACTGGGCAAGGCAAGTGAGAGTTTCTCTGTCTAACAGCCCTGGCTGGCCTCAAACTCAGAGATCGGCCTGCTTCTGCTTCCCAAGTGCTGGAATTAAAGGTGTGCACCACGATTACACAGTTAGATTTTCAGTTTTTTTTTAAAGATAGATTTATCTATTTATTTATTTATTTCGCATACAATGTCTGCCTGTATGTCTGCCTGAAGGCCCAAAGAGGGTACTAGACCTCATTACAGATGGCTGTGAACCACTATATGGTTGTAGGGAATTGAACTCAGGACCTCTGAAGAGCAGCCAGTGCCCTTAATCATTGAACCATCTCTAGCCCCTAGATTTTCAGTTTTTAAAAATATTTTGTGTGGGAGGGGAGAAGAAGGGAGGGAAGCAGAGAAAAATGTATAGCTCAATAAAAAAAATTAATCAAAAATGTTTTGTGTATGTGTACTGTGTGCGGCACCTGCAGAGGCCAGAAGGCATTGGATCCCCTGGAACTAGAGTTACATATGGTTATGAGCTTCCATGTGGGAGCTGGAAATTGGACCTGGACCCTTTAGTGCTCCAGCCCTCCTAGCTTTTCTTTATAGAAGCATGGCATACTTCTTGGCTGCATTCTTAGTTTCTGCTTGTTTCCCAAGCCAATATAGAAAGTACTTTCAAATGGATCTACAAACAGGTTGGTACTTATGCACCAAGCAGGAAGAGGTGCTGGATTATGTGGTAAATCAAAGTAGTAGCAACAAGTATCTTTGTCTTGTCCCCAACATCTTAGAATGCTTCCATCATGTCGCCATTAAAAAGATGCTAGTTAGTGTGTGGTCACATGTACAGTGCCAGCACTTATGAAGCTGAGGCAAAGCATCTTGGGCTCTACAGCAAGACCTCATCTCAAAAACAAACATAATTTGCAAAAGAAAAAAGAAATGAAGAAAAATGTTAGATGCTGCTCAGTGGTATAGCACCGGCCCAGCACGTGTGAGGGCCTGAGTTCTACCCTTGCACTGCCCAAACATTAACATTAAAAGGTGCTAAGTTAGCATTTAGCCAAAAAAAAACATATTTCAGATTATCTAAGAAAATTTTTATCTATTCTTAATTTATTAATTTTTTTTGATTTACTTTTTTTTTTTGAGTGTTTCACGTGTATGTCCATATTTCTGTGTACTACTGGTGCCCTCAGAGGTCAGAAGGCATGGGATCTTCTGGAACTGTAGGTGGTTGTGAGCCACCATGTGTTTTCTTTTTTGATTTTTAGTGTGTTTGCCCTGCAGATTTTGTAAAAATAGTAGTAGATTTATTTTACCTGTGATTGAGAGAAGTTTAGATAGATTTGAACTACTCTGCCCTGAAAATTATAAAAAACTCACCAGTAAAACTATCCAGGTTTAGTGCCTTTGGGAGAAAGGCAAAGGCCGACTCCATAACCATTTGCTACAACAAGAGGAGTGATTTCATTTTCAGCCTCTTCTAGGTCTCATCATTTATTTTATCCTGATTTCTTTTCGTCACCATCGCCCTCAAAAAACTCTAAGATATAGTATTCTTGTAACTCTTTTAAATTTCTTTCCAACTCTGTTGTAGAAACTATGACCACATATTCAGGGTAATTAGTTCTAAGTCTTTACACACTAGTTCTCATCAATGAGTCCTTAGTTGTGTTTAAGACACCATAGGAAAGCCTTTAATCCCAGCGTTTGGGAGGCAGAAACAGGCAGGTCTCTGAGTTCGAGGCCAGCCTGGTCTACAAAAGCTAGTTGCAGGACAGGCTCCAAAGCTACAGAAAAAACAAACCAAACCAAACCAAAACAACAACAACAACATAAACATAGGAAGGGTCAAAGGGCTCACAGATGAAGATCAGATCCTTCTATTTGGAAACAAAGAAGGAAAAGGGTATCAGACCTTTAAATTCTGTATCTGCCTGTAAGGCCCTGATAACTAAATCCTGCAAAGGTGTTCAATCTTAGAAATTCTGGGCAACAGCAGAGAAACTTCATAGCTAAGGGTGAAAAGAAACACAGTGCATCCATTCTAACAGCCTATTGGGTAACAACATGCTTCAGAAGACCCTGGTCAACGATTCAGGCTGAGTCACTCCTGTGACGGCAAACTGTGGTCCATAATTCTAGGGTCAAGACATCCGGGCAATAAGGTTACTACAGATTTGTCAAAAACACCAGGTGTCAAATTGTGATGGACACAAGAAGCATGTATTGTCAGCATGAGTGCTGCCCACAGGCTGAGTATACTACTCACATCTTCCTAATATTAGTCGGGATGACTTTTCAGGAAAGACCGGCTCATTTGTTGCTCTGGTGATGCTAAGACACTGTCCTACAGGATCCAGGTGTCCTGGAAATTCTTTTTACAGAGCTGATTGGCTGAGATGGCATGGGAGCTGCACTTTTTTAATGGCTAAGAGTGTAAAAAGCTGGTGAGGAGGTAACCTCTAAGTGATGTCCCAAGAAGCTCATAGGCAACATTACCCTTTCACATTTTGTAAAGCCAAAATTACATAAAAAAACTTAAACCAGGTTTAGTAGCAGATGCCTTTAATCCCAGAATTTGGATTAGGGATTAGGCAGGTGGATCTCTGTGAGTTCAAGGTCAGCCTGGTCAATAGAGCAAGTTCCAGAACAGCCAAAGCTACAAAGAAACCCTGTCTTGAACACCCCTCTCCCTGGCCACCCAATCTATTTGTGTATGTGTTTATCTGAATAACTTTCATAGCAAATAGCTTGTCCTTGGCAATTTAATTCCTCACTCAGTTCACTATAGTCCTGATAATCTAACAACCCTGGAGAACAGCTATGGATCTGCTAAAGCCCCAGAAGTCACTCAAGAGCCGTATGAAATGTTGCTCAATGTGATGTGTGAAAGATCCACGAAGCAGCTCCTCTCACCTGTGTCCACATGGCTTCAGCTGTGTGTCTGCTACCTCATCACAACAGAGTGAACAGCAGTTCTCTCGAATACTGACTTGTTTCAGCAGAGCGAGGCGCCTGTGCCTGAGCAGATAAAGCAATAGGAAATTCATTTTGTTAACAAGGAGTCAACATGGGCCACATGAAATGCTCACAAAAAGCCTTACCCAGGGAAAATATACTCCACAGTTTTTGTTCAGTAAAGTTTTCACACATCTCAGCCTTAGCAGAGTGAAGGAGGCTAGAGCGTCATTTTACAGATAAAAAAATTAAAGTTATATGAGATGAATTACATAAAACTTAATAAACAGAAATCAAATTTGGCTGGGCGGTGGAGGCACACGCCTTTAATCCCAGCACTCGGGAGGTAGAGGCAGGTAGTGGCCTCTGTGTGTTCGAGGCCACGCTGGTCTACAAGAGCTAGGACTATAACACACAGAGAAACCTTGTCTTGAAAAACAAAACCAAACCAAACCAAATTCAAATCCTTTGGTCTAAGTCCAGTGTTCTTTTACCAGCAAATTTCAATGGTTTAAGTAACATATATTGAGAATTTGGTGAAAAGCACACACCTTTCCCAGGGAAAACACCCACAGTTTTCGCACAAGGGATTTATGACATGCAAACTCCCTGCAAGTTTAGACACCTTAGATTTGAACTCTTCCAATACACTTCCATTCAGCATGGACAGGAAAGCAGACAGGAAGAACTGCTCTCCTCAAGTTCACTTATGGGCTTGCTATGTGCCTGTCACTAACCCAAATCATGACAATTCAGCGCAGCAGTGAGCAGGAGATCAAATAAGTATCCTTAGCTAGGCATGGTGGCACACAGCTAGAATCAGCATTTGGGAAGCCTGGGCTCTAGAGCACACAGGGTGAAAAAAATAGCAACCACAAATACAAAAAGAAGTAACTGTTTCTATGGAGCCCATGCTCTAGAGTGGCGGTGGGGGAGACAACTAAAAACTATGTTAAATGCTGATGAATAGCATGACAGAAAATAAACTGGGAAAAGGGAAAAAGAATGCTTACAGGTATGAGAGACATAGGGGTTAGAATGGCAGTCAAGGAGGGCCTCATGAAGCAAATCTTAGTAGACATGTGAGGGCATGGGGGAATTGAGCCTTGCTGTCTGGACAGTGAGTAGTGACAGAAGCTGGAATGGAAATGGGGTTACTAACAGATGATGTGGGAAAAGCACAGGAAAAGCAAGGGCTTCACTATGCGATTCTTTTACTATTTTGTATGTATTTAAATTTAGCATAATAAAGAGGTTAATAAAATACACGAGGAGAATAGAGAATAAACATAATATAAACAACAAAATTCCAGGTGGTAGTTGCAATCCTCCTATTTCAGCTTCTGTAGTAGCTCGGAGTATAGGTCTGCACGGCAAAGCCTGTGTCAAAAACTTTGTGTCATTGTTAGAGACAACAAAGTCTAGATTCAGAATGAAACTGACCTAACTTGTAACCTGTTGTTCTTATTCAAGATAGGAGAAACTCTGAGTGTTATATGAATATTCGGTTGCCAAGTTGATAAGCATAAACTGGCCATAAAAGATGACTTCCTACCCCTATTCTGGGAAGTTTAACCCTGAAGAAGCAGGGGAACTCATAGATGGATCAGCTGTGCCCTTCAGGTGAATTATGAGTCTCACTCCTGGAAAAGCAGGCAAACAAAGGACTGAGGTATGTCAGGAGGGAGGTGTCACCTCAGATTTTCACCAAGAGCAACTAAAGTTCACAATCTCTGTCTCATCAAGACAAACTGCACAGAAGCTCTAAGGGACAATATCCTCAGATGCCTGAATACACTAAGTGGTCTTTGTGTTCTTAGAGTACTGCCAAGGCTTTGCTGCCCCTACTGAGACATGTTCTATTCACCTGAAACTGCTGGGTCACTGAGATGTGGTGTAAGGTAAAGAAAGAGGCTGCTTACAGCTATGTTGTGCTTCAAAACAGAAGCCAGGATTTCACTGCATTACAGTTACACTTATGGGTATTGCATATGGTTTAACACAAGCTATGTCCTGGCCAGTATAGTCTCCTTGACTGCTGAGAGACTATCTTATTGATATAACACTAGTAATACGAGTCCCCTGCCTCATACTGACCCAGATAGCTGCCCTCTTTAAAGAAATGATAAACTTTGGCTCACACTGTGTAACAGGCTTCAATAAGCAGTAATTACTAGGAAGCAGCTGGACTATCTCCCTAGCTGAAGGAACAGACTACAATCATTTTATAAGGAAGATAAGCAGGCATTCATTCAGGAGATAAAGCCAATGTCAGTTTCTGTCAAATAAGGGCAATGTTACCTCAGACAGCTTTTTGTGTGCTCATGGCTGTAGAACAGCATCAGCATGTTTGTTATGCAGTTTATACCCCAAGAAGTGGCTTCCAATAAATCAAGTCTGTTAATAGATGTACTGATTTTCCAATATTAAGGACTTTTATACAGATATTCCAGTGAAGTTAGTTGGCATTTTTGTGTATGTGTGTGAATGTGTTCTATTTTTCTGATTTTTATTTAGTTATTCTTTTTGAGACAGGCTCTCTCTTTTCTGAGCCCATGGTAGCTTCAACCTCACAATGATTTTCCTACCTCTGCCTCCCCAGTGGTAAGATTAAAAGTAGGAACCACCATACCAGTCCTTTTCTGACTTTTACATCAACATTATTTAACTCATAAAAAGAATGTGGACATGTTCCTTCTTTTTCTTTGGGCTCTATAATACTTTAAATGAGTGGTTTTCAACCTTCCTAAAGCTTTGACCCTTTAACACAGGTCACGTTGTGATGACCCTCAACTATAAAATTATTTTCAGTGCTACTCCATACCTGTAATTTTGCTATTGTCATGAACTGTAATGTAAATATCTATGTTTTATGGGTGTTAGGTAACCCCTATAAAAGGATCATTTGATGCCCAGATTGAGAGCCGCTGCTTTAAATAATAATGAAGCTATCATTTACAATTTGATAGTGAGAGCTCTTGTGAAACTACCTGCTTTAGTTAGACAAAGATTTTAATTTTTATTTTCAAATAAATTTTACACTACCTCTGGTCAGTACTTGTTTATATGTAACTTCCTAGGATCTGTTTTACTAATCTATATTTCTCAGAAAGTTAACCTTTTCAGTGAGATTATTTGTTCAAAGTTACTTGTTCAATGCTGAAAAAAATATCCCATAAGCTGTTATGATTTTCCTTGAGAAGCACAAGACAGTCTGGAAAGAGCCTGGGCAGACTCTTACCTTGGCAAAATGATCTTTTCTTCAGCTGTTAGGAAGGCGTAATCATTAAAAGTGCTAAATTTCATAGATGGTGGGTATTTGAATGGTTTTGCTCCAAAATTGAACTCACATTGTTGATATGACATGAAACTAGCTGCAGCAAAAAATCCAGATCTACAAATAAAAATGAGCACAGAGGTCAACAGAATTCCTAAGACCAAGTTCATATACAGAGTCACTTTGAGAAAGTTGGAATGAGTCAGTCATTCTGGGAGAAGGGAAGCAGGACAGGCCTGTGAGCCAGGGGAGACACCTTTATCTTTCTGTATCACAGAGGACATAACAAATGGAGCTCTAAATAATTAAAATAAATCCATTTCTCATAATTGCTTAGATAAAAGAACAAAGGTGTTTGTTTTTTTTTTATTCTTGAGAAAAGTACATCCCATGAATCTACTCAATCTTTGACTGAAAAGAGCTACTTACACGGTGGATGAAAAGACTTGCTTCTCAGGAGGCAGCTGGTTGCCATTTAGAAAGAAGATCATTTGCTTTTCATTCAAGTCTAACAGAAACCCTACTGTGTCGCCTGGAAGATAAACCAAACACTGTTAGGCTTGTGTTACCCAGATCCCTCAAGAGCCTCAATGGCCCTGTACTAAGCTGCCATATTCAACATGCTTAACTTTGTTTCCTGTGCTTCCACTAAACCATGACAAGCCACCAACTGTATAAGATGCATCCCAATTTCAAGAGGCTAAAAAGTGAAAAAAATGTACATACTGGGTAAGATAAAATTATGTGCTGATTTGTCTCTCGGGAAAGATTTAAAATGCCCTAGATAACAATTGCAAAAATGTTTTTGTTTTGAAGCATACATTCTTTTAAAGTGAGATCTCATTTTTGTTCCAGTTTATAATAAAATACTGAAAGCATTAAACATTATTTTATTGTTTGTTTTTGGATTTTCTGAGATAGGATCTTTGTATGCGGCCTTAGCTAGTCTCAAACTGGCTATGTAGCCCAAGATGGTCTCAAATGTGAAATCCTCCTGCTTCAGCCTCCTGAATGTTAGGATTATAGGTACATCATACCATGATAAGCCAATCATGCTTTGTGTTCTTCTGGCCTTGAATTTGGTATGTAGCTGAGAATAATCTTGAACTTTTGATCCTATTGCCTCTATCTCATGAGTCCTGGGGATTACTGGTTATACCACTATACCCAGATATCTCAGTGCTAGAGACTGAACCTAGGGCCTCCATTCGTGGCAGACAAGCTCTCTACCACCTGAGCTACATCTCCAGCACTAGTAGTGTTATTTTTCATAACCTAGAAACTTGTTCAGGAAATGAAGCATAACAGTGGAAAATAAATACATATCAATTTTTAGTGCTGGGAAAAAAAAACCTCTAGAGCTGTAGAGATGGCTCAGCAGTTAAGGGCACTGGATGTTCTTCCAAAGGACCTGAGTTTGAATCACAGCACCCACATGGTAGTTCATGGCCATCTCTAACTCCAGTTCCCTTCTGACCTCCGTGGGCACCAGGAATACATATGGTGTACAAACATACATGTATGCAAAACACCCACATACATTTATATGTTTATTTACACACATTTTTATGTATGTACATGTCCTAGTTGGTTTATATTCTTTTTTTTATTTTTTATTTTTTGTTTTTTCGAGACAGGGTTTCTCTGTGGCTTTGGTTCCTGTCTTTGGTGAAGAAACAAGTGCATGTATTTTATGTGCACACGAGTGTATGTGCCCATGGATGCTAGAAAGTATTAGATTCTCCTGGAGCTGGAGTTACAGGCAGGGTGCTGGAAATGACCTCAGATCCTCTGGAAAAGCAGCATGTGTTTCTACATGTGAGCCATTTCTACAGCTCCTAAGAACTTAATATTCTGAAATGCTTTTGCTTCAGAAGGGTTGCCACAACAGGTAAAGTCTATAAGGGAATACCTTTCACAGTCATGACAGTGATGCTGACTCTAAGTCTCCTATGAAGATATTTACAGCCTGCCACAGTGAATGCCTGATGAAAACTAGCTGTCCTAACCCAGGTGACAAATTCAAGGTGAAGAATGAATACCTTCCTTCCAGCACGGGTGCACATGAGGCTTACTTCTGGCATTGTACCAAATCAGCTGCCGGCAGCCATCATAGGCACAGGAATACTCATCGTCCCCAATGCCGTATCCTTCCTGAAGAGAGACAAGGCCCAGAAGATTAACGAGACTCTACCTACTCTAACATGGGGAGACCTAGTAGGTAGCATCCTAAGCTTTTCTGGATGAAGAGAAAGCCTACGGTACTTGGAAGATATCAAATTAACAGAGAAGCCTAGTTCCAAGTAAACAGATACCAGTTCCACCAACACAGATCTGCCCAGTGCTTCCCTTGCTGCAGGCACTCTCACACCTGTAGCCAGGTTAGTTCTCAGACCATTCCTGAGAAAGGAAACAGCCTCCTGAAGGGCAGTCAGCTTCCTTGTAGACTAGTTCTAAGAAAAGCAAATTTACAAGAACTGTAGACTTGCCACTTCCCTGTGGCCAAGCCAACTTTCCTGAATGTGGTAGACTCAAAAAATGCCCACATCCTCAGATTTTATGAATGTAAAATAATGAGTACTTAGCTCAAAATTATTTTGATAACAGTCCAATTTGAAAATTTTATAGGTTCTCAACAATCAATTTCTTTTATTACTTGCTACCTCCCCCCCTCCTCCCCAGGGTTTCTCTGTAGCTTTGGAGCCTGTCCTGGAATTTGCTCTGCAGACCAGGCTGGCCTCAAACTCACAGAGATCCACCTGCCTCTGCCTCCAAGTGATGGGATTAAAGGTGTGCGCCACCACTGCCAGGCTTTGCTTGTTACCTTTCAATTATTGCCCAGAATTAATATACAAGGGTGAATGGGAGCCAGGCACACCTATAAATACCAGGACTTAGGAGGCAGAGGCAGGGCTAGGAGGGTTCATGAGACCTTGTCTCAACAAACGAAAAGGGTAAGTGAGATCTTTATTATTATTATTATTATTTTAACTTTTATTGATTCTTTGTCGATTTTACATCATGCACCTGATCCTACTTATCTCCCATCCCCTTGCGTCTACCCTTTGCCCTTGCGATCTCACCACTAAAAACAAAGCAAAATTTAAAAGAAAAACCAAAAACCAAACCAAACAAGACAAAAAGAGTACCATTGTGGCAGCTATCATGTTCCTCTGTGAGTCACAGCTGACCCTTTAGCCCATTCATCTTCACTTGTAAGAGTTCATTGCTAATAGTCATTGGTCTGGTTCCAGGCCTCTGGCTTCTGCTAGATTACTGATAATGGGCTCTCACTGGGGCTCCTCTTGGATATCCTGCTGACTCTGATACCTGCCCTCATTTTACCCCTACTGAGAGAGAAGGCCCTCACCTCACTTGCACAAGTGTGCTGCCCAGAAGTGGTTGTGAGTGAGATCTTATTTTCAGTGCTTGCCCATAAACAAACAAACAAGAAAAATAAACAGGGACAGGGAGATGGTTCAGTGAATAAAGGCACTGGTTGTCAAGCCTGGCAACTTGAGTTTGCTCTCTGGAACCTAAAATGTGAGGAGAGAACAGTCTCCAGGAAGTTGTCCTCCAACCTTCACATGCATGTCATGGAGCATGCCTACTGCTCCTGTCTAAAAAAATAAGCCAATCATAACAAAAATATTTTTTAAAAATTTATTTTTATTTGTGTATGTGTGTATATATGCATGTATGCATGCATGCATACCTGTAGAGGTCAGAAGGGGGCCTCAGATTCCCTGCATATAGTTGGTTATAGGCTACCTAACATGGGTGCTAGGAACCAAACTCCAGTCCACATAAGAACAGTTTTCAAAGGGAAGAAATAATTAGAAATAGAAGTATGAAAGAAGTGGAGGAGACAGAAGCAAGCCAAACAACTGTCATCCTTAAGCACCAATGGTGAGGAACAGAGTTAAAGGGAATGAAACATGATTAAACACAAACCTCAGTTCCCACTAGCCTGTTTGTTCTATGTGATAAAGAGTGTAGTCAGGATATAGACAGGAGAGAGTTCTGACAAACTGCCTAACTATAATACAATGAATATCTGAATTAGAATTAGTACTTGATGTGCACTATGCAGAACATTGAAAAGTTAAGTAGCCCGGTGTGGTGGTGTCTTTAATCCCAGTACTCATAAAAAAAGTTAAGCTGAAAAAAAAAAAAAAAAAGCCGGGCGATGGTGGCGCACGCCTTTAATCCCAGCATTTGGGAGGCAGAGGCAGGCGAATCTCTGTGAGTTCGAGACCAGCCTGGTCTACAAGAGCTAGTGCCAGGACAGGCTCCAAAGCCACAGAGAAACCCTGTCTCGAAAAAAACAAAACAACAACAACAAAAAAAGTTAAGCTGGATACACGCTTTTAATCCCATCACTTGGGAGACAAAGGCAGGTGGTTCTTTGAGAGTTCAAGGCCAGCCTGGTCTACAGAGCAAGAAGGAAAGTAAGATATACAGAGAGAGAGAGAGAGAGAGAGAGAGAGAGAGAGAGAGAGAGAGAGAGAGNGAGGAGGAGGAGGAGGGAGGAGGAGGAGGAGGAGGAGGAGGAGGAGGGAGGGAGGGCGGGCGGGCAGAGGCAAAAAGTAGTCGGGATAATTTAAGAAAAGCTGGCAAGAAACAAGCCAAGGCAGGGCATTCATAACTAAGAATAAGCCTCCGTATGTAATTTACTTGGGAGCTGAGAGGCACTCAAAAAGCCAAAAGAGTAAAAATCATCACACAACAACAATAGAATTTTTCAGACCTAGTAACTTTTGACTACACAGCAGCTCAAAAATATCCCAGGTTTTCAAATATGACAGGTTCCCAAATAAACAGCAGCAGACTGCAGTCCACATAATGCAAGAGTCCAGCTAATCCCACCTTGCCCATTAGCTCTTTCTTACAACTATTCTCTTTCTAGTCTAGGAGTTTTACAAAATAATCTTGGACAAAGCTGAATTGATTTCAAATAAATTTTTTTTCCCCTACACTTAATTCATTTTATCTTTCTGGTACAAAAACTCAAGTCCTCTGAATGCAGACTCTGGTATGCATTTTCACAAGATGATCAGTGAATTCCTGATAAGGAGACTTGATGAGATCAGGGGTTGGTTAGCTATGAAATGGCATCAAAGGTGGCAAAGTTGCCCAGGGGGGCAGTACAGCCCCTGGCTGATGATGTGCAGCTGTTATCAAAACAGGCTGTCAGTAGCAGCTTCTTGGGCACAGGAGCAGATAGAATGCCAGTGCCTCTGCCCCAGATGAGGCACACCAGCACAGAGCCACAGTGGCCTACCATCTTGTGTGGGATGATGTGGGGCTTGATGATCTTATAGCATCTCCACACAAGGATAATGGAAAGCTTGGTAAGGTGATGGCCCCTTGGAGGGCAACGGTGACCTGTTTGGATCATTTAACATCAAGACCAACATGGCCATTGTAGTCCCCAATAGCAACAAAAGCCTTGAACTTGGTCCACTGACCAGCAGCGTCTGCTTCTGTCTTTTAGAACCTCATCCTTTAGGAATGATCAATAATTTTGGATTTCTTAGTGGGCATGGAGAATAGGCAGATCTCCTCCAGGGACTAGATGTTCATGTCCTTAACCAGGCACTGGCCCAGCCTGGTGACAGGGATCCACTCCTTGTCTTTGGCTTACCTTCACAAGCCCTGCAGTCCTGATGATGACTCAACCTAGCTAGGCCTCCCAAGGACTGAGGACCCTTCCTGCTGCACCAGCATCACCCATCATCCACGTTTTCTCCAAAAATAAAGCTCATATATCATAAAATTTGACTAACAGTAGAAATTCAGTTGGGTTAGGTGCTGAAGGGTATGTCTAGTCAGGTGTGGTGGTGTAGGCCTATATCCCTGCACTTGGGAGGCTGAAGTAAGAGGAGCACCGTGAGTTTCAGGTTTGGGCCATATAATGATATAGGTTAGCAAGACCTTATTTCCAAAAGGAAAAGTATCCACCTGAAGGAACCATGACACTCCCACATTAGTGGTATCCCAGGCCTACTTACTATAGAAGATTTAGACTTCCCTTTACTTCAGCACTTTCTAAAACAAAAGATAAATAAATATTGAAAATAAATGTGCCTATTAATTACAAGGTAAAAAAATCAAATAAGAAAAGTTAGCCAATATTTAATGCTATGGAAAGAGAATTTATACATGGTTCTCTTTTTCCTTTGAGACAGGACCCAGGACCTCCACTTCCCGAGACAAGGTTTCTCTGCTTAACAGTTCTGGCACCCCTGGAACTCACTCTATAGATCATGTTGGTCTTGCACTCAATAGAAGTTGCCTGCCTGTACCTTCCAAGTGCTGGGATTTAAAGTGTGTACCACCACCACCCAGCTAAAGATTTTTTTTTTTTTGTTTTCTCTTTCGGTTTTTTCGAAATGGTTTCTACATATATTTTGATTGTCCTGGAACTCATTCTGTAGACCAGACTGGCCTCAATTCAGAGATTCACCTGCCTCTGCCTCCTGAATAGTGGGATTAAAGGCATGCACTAACACTGCCCAGTCAAAGATTCCTTTATTTAAAGATGCATTTTTATTTTTTATTTATGTGTATGTTAGTGTGTGTGTGCAATATGTATGTGGGCACCCAAAGAAGCCAGAAAGGGTTGTTGGATCTCCTGAAGCTGGATTTACAAGTGGTTGTTAGTAGCTTCACGTGGGTACTAGGAACCAAATTCAGGTCCTCTGGGATGAGCAGAAAGCACTCTTAACTACTGAATCATCTCTCTGGCAACCTTATAAGGTTTCCAAACCCTACAAGGTTTCCAAAATTTAATCTCAAAGGTAAAAATCATCCATTGCCAACCAGGCTGTGGTGGCGTACACTTTTACAACTAGGACTCAGAAGGCAGAGGCAGGTGGATTTCTGAGTTTAAGGTCAGCAAGTTCCAGGACAGTCAGGGCTATACAGAGAAACACCATCTCAAAAATAACAAAAAACAAAATGGAATAATAGATGTCCCCTGTTACAGTTCGATAACTGGGCCCCAAATATGGTTGGGACTACAGGAGAGCCATAAAGACATATTTCTAGTCGAGTGGTGGTGGCGCACGCCTTTAATTCCAGCACTAGGGAGAAAGAGGCAAGCTGATCTCTCTGAGTTCGAGGCTAGCCTGGTCTACAAAATGAGTTCCAGGCTGTTACACAGAGAAACCCTGTCTTGAAAAACAGAAACAAAAAACAAACAAACAAGCAAATAAAGGGAAAAGCCCAGAGATTGAGAGGGATCTCCGCTTGTTTCCTAGTTCTACATCAGCACAGCAAGCCTCTGTTAGGAGTCTGGCACCACCTAGCTATTAAGCAAACCTGTCTGAAGATAAACATATCCACCTGTCCACTGGAAAAGCAAGCTGCCGCTGTTTCATTTGCACTCCCCTGGTACTCACGTGGTTGAGAAACTTGCTGTCTCGAGTAGCCCAGCCAATCTGCATGACACCAGAAGTGATTACTGTTACTTCGTAGTACCACACCCCAGTGTCCACACAAAAAGTGCAGCGGACACTCTCAAAGGAGGAGGCATCACAGCGAGCCTGGCAGAACCAAGGAGTACAAATCAATCCATCAGTAACTGGAAGACGGGACAGAGGTTTTTTTTTTTTTTTTTTTTTCCTTATCAATGCTCCACTGCCCATCTTCAGTAATTTTAAAAAGCATCAAACTGAGTGACTTCTAGGGTTTCAAAGATAGCTGCAGCTGCAAGTAGTTAAAGCTACTGGTTTTGTTTTTCAGTACTTAGAGAGCTTGCTGTAGATCAGCATCTTTATAAATGTGAACATTGTCTTCATCAGATGAAGAAGGAAAAGGTAAAGACAGGGTATCTACATAGAATTCAAAGACAAAATGACAAAAGGGATTTGGCAACCACTGTTCAACTTGTACTTCAATTCTGAAATGCCTCGTCCTTGGTACTTTCCTGTATATAAGCAGTATAAGACTGGCAATATTCAACACAAGAAAGGGAAGCACCAGGTCTAGCACAATTGGCTATGTGGGCATTTGCAGAAGGAGAGGCTTCTTTGAGAAACATCTGTCTTCATACTTTTAGTTGAATAAAATGACAAAGATTAAAAACAGATATAGAGCTAAGAGAGATGGCTCAGCAGTTAAGATCACTGACCATGTGAGTCCCAGCACCCACATGGTGGCTCACAAACTTCTGTAACTCCAGATCCAGGGGATCCAATGACTTCTGGCCTCCATAGGCACCAGGAAGGGAAATAGTACATAGACATATAGGCAGGCAAAATATCCATATACATAAGATAAAATATTTTGAAGTGTTTAAAAACATATTTAGCTAGGGCTGTAACTCAGTAGTAGAACATTTACTTAGGAATTGAGTCCCACAAACAAACAATTCAGACACATGTGAACCAGTCAACAAGCACTGTAGCACTACAATGGACGCAGCTCTGTGGGCTGTAACTGAGTGAGCGGCATCCCAAAGCAATCTCTATCCCTACCACTTCTACTTCTAGCCACTCTTCAGATAGAAGAAAAGCCTCTACCTGTTCTGTTAACCATTGTTCTGAAGCAGGGCATAAAAATGGGGGAAAGTAGTTTTGGCCCTCAAAAGGTCCGTGAAAGCGTTACCTCCAAGCCGTGAGGTGAGATCTTCAAGTACTCGCTGACGTCATTGCTGTTCAGCATGGCCCTAATGTTTTTCAAGTCCACTTTCTCGTAGGTTAGTTGTCTACCTTCTTTTAAAACTGCAAAAGAAAAGGTGGTCATGTTTCCTAGGGCAGACTGTAATGGTTTGGAAGAAAGGGAAAACTGTCATCTCTAGTTGTCAAAGAGTGGAGAACTGGTCGGACCTAGTATCTTAGCTGTGCTGTTACATGAACTAATTAGCAAAGGCCAGAAAAGGTAGTACTGCAAGCGTGGTGTTTCCAGTCTCTGCACCTATAGACTGCATGAAACAAAATTCAAATAACAGGTCTCACTGTGTAGCCCTGACTGGCCTAGAACTTATAAACTGACAGAGATCTACCTGTCTCTATCTCCCAAGTACAGGATTAAGTGTGTAATGCTCGGGATAGTGGCTTTTTGTTTTGTTTAGTTCTGTTTTTTAGAGGCAGGGTCTAATGTGGCTCAGGTTGGGTTTAAATTCACGATGTAGCTGAGGATGACTTTGAACTCATTTCTCCTGCCTTTGCCTCTCAAATGCTAAAATTATAGCAATACAATCATTCCCATCTTCCAAATTGCATTTACTCAGAATTACCTTTAACTAGCACTATATAGACTGTACTCCATGTTAGGGCAAGAATTAGAGGTTATGTGCTAACAATAGAGGCAGGCAATGGTACAGCAATTTGGTTTGTATTCTAGTTGCCTTTGGAGGAGAAAAAAGTTAAAAAAAAAAACTGCCACTGTGTAAGTAAGAATTAATTTGGGTTTGAGGAGGCCACCTGAGATAAGGAGAAGAGTACAAAGAAGGTAAAAGGGCTGGGGCTATAGTTCGGTGGCAGAAAGCTTTCCTAGCATGAACAAAGTTCATGTACTCAGCGCTACAATGGACGCAGCTCTGTGGGCTAGAACCCATCCTTAGCATTAAATTCTGTCTTTTTGTTTCCTGGCCTCCCTGACTGGGCTGTTCTTCCCACCTTCCTGCCATGGTAAACTGAAATCTCTGAAACTATGAACCAAAATAAGTAATTCTTCCCATTAGGTGGTTCATATCACATATTCCATCACACGACAATAGAACACACACATGCACATATATACAAGGAAAGACACAGAAGAAAGTACACGTGTGAACAGGCCCAGAGGTGGAGTTAGCTGGACCTAGTTGGTGGGCAGTGAGGAAAGTGTGTGCTGGCAAGTTCTTAGACAGAGCTACATAATTAAGGCATCTGATTCAGCTGCTGTCAGAAAAGGTCTGTGACCCAGAAAGTGCTAAATGAGAAGCATTCCACTTAACTCTCATCTGAAAGGTGCCTAGGATACTTCTCTATTAGAGTATATCCAATCTGCAGTAGAGACGCTTATTAAGAACTCCCACTCATTACAGCAAAAGGAAGGCTACTGATCCTACTGAAGAAAGGGGTTTAAGAAACGTAAACAAATTTTGACTGGTGAGATGGCCCAGCAGGTACAGGCAGTTGCTTGATGACATGGAACCCGCATGGTGGAAAAACAGAACCAACTCCTGAAATTTATCCTTTAACCGCTACGTATGTGCACATCTACCCCCAACACAACATAAATAAAATGAAAATATCAATATATAGAAGCAGAAACACATTTTAATAAAGGACGACCCCCACTCACAGAGATTGTCTAAGCTCCACTGGGCACAGAAGCCAACTTGACGTTTCAGATAATCAGGATCATCAGCCCACAACTCCAAGGTGACCAGTCGGTCACTAATACTGGATTCAGAGATAGTCAATTTATTTTCACCTGTTTAGAAGGATGAGATCTTTAAATAACAATGGCAGAGGAGGAGGATATACTGGGCAGATTAGTGGTGGTAAGGAATGAGGGGAGACAATACAGAATTTGGAGACTAGAACAGTTTTCATTAACACTTCCATCTAGGGATGACACAAGCAAAAAGCTGTGGCTACTTTCTACATTTTCATCACTCTTTTAAAATATTTATTTGGTTATTATTATTATTATTATTATTATTATTTTGGTTCTTTGAAATAGGGTCTCTCTAGGTAGCTCTGGTTGTCCTGGAACTCCCTATGTAGACAAGGCTGGCCTCTAATGGAGAGCCACCTACCTCTGTGCCCTAAGTGCTGTGATTAAAGGCATGTACCTTAGCACAGAGTTTAAGATTTACTTTTTATTTATGTATATCCATAAGAGTCTGTGAATGTGTATGTCATGTGTGTCTGAGTGCCTGTAGAGATCAGAAAAGGGTTTCAGAATCCCTGGAGTAGAGCTACAGGTGGCTGTGAGCTGCCCAACAATGTTGGTGCTGGGAACCAAACTCCAATCCTCTGACAAAGCATCAAGTGCTCTTAATTGCTGAACCATCTCTCCAGTCTCATCATGCCACTGCAATTATTCCTTTAAATTCTCTGTGTGTGGTTTACGTATGTGTTTGTCTGTGTGAATATACGCACACGTGCGAGGCATGCACGGAAGCTAGAAGAGAGAGAGCACTGGGTGTCCTCGTCTACACGCTCCGCCATTTCTTTTGAGGCAGGAACACTCCTTGAATTGGGGGCTTGAATTTTTGTGACTGGGCTGGAAGCCAGCAAGCCTCAGCAATTGTTTTGTCTTTGTTCACCCCAGAGGTATGCATGAGGTGCCAGGTTTGTTAATGAGTACTGGGATCCAAACTCAGGTCTTCATGACCGCAAAGCAAACGCTCTTAACTGTTGCAGCATCTTGCCATCCCCTTATCACTGAAGTTTTGGCTGTAAAATTATAGTCACCATGCTTAGAATCTTAGCTGAGAAAAATCTTTGTTTTTGTTTTTGATATACTTTGATGGTTTTCTAACCAGAATGTATGTACATTTGATGGAGTTTAAAGTGTAGGCTCATTTTTTACAACCAACAAAGATCATTAGTGCAAGAAGTCACTATACCTACTTGTTTGGGCAAACTTTTCCAGTGCAATCAGTGCAAAAAGCATAACTGTAGGGTGGGAGTGTAGCTTCTGAAAGACAACAAAAGATAAAAACAAAAGTCACCCCTACAGAGGCAGTAAGGCATCAACTTCATATTCTTCCTTAATACAGGCCAGATTATATATTTGGAAAAGCAGAAAAGTCTCCCTCATTCAAACTTTCAATTGTCCACTTGGCTGATGGAGACTAAGATAGAATCTCTTAATCGATTTTTCAAAAATCATTGGGTTAATTTATAGATATGGACATTTCAGCAGTATCTTATTAAATGCATTATGCTATTAGACTTAGTGACATTTGCACTATTTGTTAACTAAAATAATGTTCATACTTACACTCATTAAAATAAGCCAAAAAGAAAAGCAGAATTATAGCTAAAAATGACCTTTAGGAACCACAAAGAAATACCAGTTCTAGAACTATAAATAATGATATTATCAATTAACATCTTAAGTTTTTTATGTGAGACAGGGTCTTTTATGTAGCCTTGGTTGTCCTGGAACTCGCTCTGTAGACCAGGCTGGCCTCAAACTCTTGGAGATCCTCCTGCCTCAGTCCCCTAGGGCTAGGATTAAAGGCATGCAGCACCACACCTGGCAGTATCTTAGTTTTAATCTAGTTCCTGCAGGGAATTCTACAGTTGCTGCTGCTGACAGGAGAGATAAGAAGTGTACTTAACTTATATTTGAATTTACATCACCCACCTAAAGAGAGGCCTACATAGCCAGTTTAGCGTGGTTTACAGAAGCACTGTTCTCCCTGCTATAAAGCCTCTTCAGCATCTTTATCCTTGCCACTTCCTTAACTCTCTTGCCTGGTTTTTCCAGTCCCAAATCTTCCAATTCACACCCTCCTCCCTCTGAACACTGTCTTCTCTGATCAGATAACCCTCACTTGACTTCTGCCGTGCTGCTTTAGCCTGGAAACTCACTGTGAGTTCCTAATCTTAACCTTCTCATGAGCTAGATAAACCCCCCACATCAGGAAGTCTGTCTTCCACGATTACTACAGGCCCCTTGTCACCCTATCACACCCCACCCACCCATCCCTTCACCTTCTCAGAACTCTTACAGCACTCAGTCTGAAGGAAGTAATTTTGCCCTCGATCATATCCTGTCATAAAGTGTAATTTAACTGCTGTCTGAATGGTTCTATTTCTTTACATTATAGTGAGCTTTTGAAGGAAAATGACCCCCCTACTACTTTGGTACCTACCAGTGCTCACTCAGAGCTGTATAAGGGTTATTTTAATCACTTAATTTGTAGGCACCAACAAATGAATTCTTTTAGAATAGAGATTTTTAAAAAGACCAAGGCTCACCAGGCTTGCAAAAATAACTTAGAAACACAGGCTAGTCAATACTGCAGTCAAGAGCTATGAGCAATAGGGAGACAGAGCTTCAACAAACCACCAGCTTCATGGGCGATACATTCATCATTCCACCAATGGCATTTTACTGTAAAGGGAAGGGTGGGCAGGACTAGAGATTGTTATACGCTGGGAACCAGGCCTGCTGTTGGAATGCCATGTAATTCTGTTTCCACTGTGTGTGGGGAGGTGTGGTGGACTGGTGGGGTGGTATTCTCCATTACTATTGTGTAGACTGTAAGAACACACAGGAGTCCTAGCAGCTATCTTATGACTAAATTTAAAACTAGACCAATTCAATTATTATTTGCTTGTAATAAATTCCCACCTCTTTTTCTCTCTCCTTTCTGTCTCTAATCATAGGAGGTGATAAACAAACACCTAGGGAACACCCGTACATAAAATTTATAACTCACCCTATCCTCTGCACCAGGAACTATGCTGGTGATTTCAGAAAAACAGACAATCTGTATGATGAGAATAAATATCTTTGATGTCTTACTTACCAGACACTGTAACAAATATTCCAGTATTCCTGGGCTAAGTAAACCTATGCTTGCAGGACCTAGATAAACACAGCAAACACTGGATATAATTAAAAGTGCCATGCTATTTTAAACCAGTAACTAATAACAAAAATTATTTTGCTTCAGTTCTGTTCTCTGATGCACACTCCTCAGGCCTCCTCTCTCAGGCTGTTCCTACTACCATCCCCATTTCACAGCTTAGCAACTGAGTCCACCAAAAAAAGAGCCATGATAGTCTAGACCAGTACCCACGTGTTCTGATTTTCAATCCATTATTTCTTCCAACATATATAAAGTAACCGGCTGAAATATTCTCATGCAATTTGCTGTTAATATTCCTAAAATGGGTAATATTCATTACTATACATGTATATAATATTTATTTATTATACTATATTTTGCCTTCTCCCTGTCTTAAGCAAAAAATGACAAATTTATCTTAAGTTTCTCTGAAAAAATAAAGCTAAATTAGATTACATTTAACTGTTTTTTGAGTAATTTTCTTCCTTTTATTTCATTTCTGTTCATTCCTTTTTTTTTGTTTTTTTGTTTAAGGTCTCCCAGAGGTCTGGTTAGCCTCTAACTATACAGGGGAGGCTTGAGTTCTCAGCCCTTTGTCTCACAGTGCTATGGTTACAGATGTGAGCCACCACACTCAGCTACTTTCTGCTACAAAAACGGCCGAAAGGTCTGCAGCACAGATGTCTCAATGTCAAGCAAGTAAGGTTCTTGGGTGGCGTGTGCTAGAGTTACCTGCTAGTTTCTCAGCCAAGCAGCCAAGGACTGCAGATGTGTTCCTATGTTTGGCAGGGTGGCCTGAGTCCTGGCATGCTACTTCTCCATTTAAGTTGAGAATTTCAGTCAATTTCTGGAGTGCATCCTATAAAAAAGTTACAAATAGATTTGATGAATATATACTCTGTACATTATTTTCCCATGGGAATTCCTAGAAACAAAACCATAAAAAGGTATTCAATGAACTTGGAATGATCACATAAAATTATAAAATTACTCCAATGGTATCATTATTGATGGGAAATATCTGATCAACCTTAAGTTTTCTCAATGCCATATTTTCATTTTATCCAAAATGTAGCAGTTATAGACAGTACATGTTTTATACTTTTGTTTTTTGAGATGGCGTCTTGGTATATACAGTCATACATATAGCTATATATACCAAGGCTATCCTGAAACTCACTATAGCCCAGGATGGTCTTGAACTTGTGGTAATCTTCCTGCCTCAACTTCCCGAGTGCTGGAATTACAGGTATGAATTACCACATCCACTTTACAATATACATACTCTTGAATCATTAATCAGACTAAACCCATTTAAATGTTAATATGATTAATTACAATAACTTGGTCATGGTGGAACATACCTAAAATCTTGGGACTCTGGAGGCTGAGGCATGAAAATTGTAGCATCAAGGCTAAACTGGGCTACCCAAGACCGGCCTATATTACAGAGCAAGACACTGTCTCAAAAAGAAACCAAGCACACATAGTAAGACCCTGACTTAAAACAACCAATCCAAAAACATAAAACCAAAAATAATTATGACCTAGTGATGTTTAAATAAAAAATTACTTTTTCCCCCAAGACAAGGGCTCACAGTAGTCTAGCCCAGGCTGGCCTGTAATTCCCAATATAGTCCAGGCTAGCCTTGAGGTCATGTAATCCCTATGCCAGATTTCCAAATGCTGAAATTACAGGCATGAGCCACCTCACTCTGTGTATCTTTGGAGCCTGTCCTAGAACTTGCTCTGCAGACCAGGCTGATCTCAAACTCAAAAGTCCACCTATTTCTGCCTCCTGAATGCTGGGATTAAAGGCATGTGCCACCACCGCCAGGCTGGGGTACTTATTTTTTAAAGAGAGGGTCTCATGTAGTCCAAGCCATCCTTAAACCTACTGTGTAACCAAGGCATCAAGGCTTTCCTTGGACTCCTAAATTCCTACTTCTACCTGCTGAGTGTTAAAATTATAGGGATGTACTACAATGCTTGGGTTTACAAAAAGCTCTATCAGGCAAGAACAAATCCCACCAACTTTTTTCCCCCTACCAACTTTTGAGGCAAATTAAAAATGGAAAATTTAGCATAGGCAATGACCAATCTGACAATGACTAGGCTAAAGACATTCCTTTTCATGTTTTCCTACTCAAGTGTTTGAAGCTTCAACACACAAATAAAATATATCAGAATTCAAATATTTAAAAGTATGCATGGGCATGGTGGTACATGCCTTTAATCTCAGCATGCAGGCAAATGTCTAAGTTTGAGGACAGTCTGGTCTACAAAGTGAGTTTTAGGCCTGTAAAGGCTACATAAGACCCTGTCTCAAACAAAACAAAACGTGTGCATGGAGGCAGTCTGTAGAAGGTAAGGCCAAAGCAATGAAAATTTAACATTTGTGTCCTAGTTAGATTATGAACCGGGCTATGCAAACCTCTAATGTGCTTAAGTAAGACTCAGAAGAGCTTTTGGTACTGTACTTTTCCTCTTAATAGAAAATCTTGGTTATGAGGAAGTTTCTCAGAGGCAGATAAATTCAGCTCATTTTCTTCTAGCTTTTAGACAAATCTTTCTACTTTAAACATTAAAAAAAATCCTGAACTAAAACTACTGAAAGAGGATATAGCACTTCATTAATAATAAAAATTTTCTTACTCCTATCCAGTAATATAGACCTCAAGTATATAAAGTCTATCAAATGCTTCTGTGATTATTCATGCTGTGTACAGATGGCACAGATGACAATTCCATGAAGATTAGTTTAACTTACTTTAGTGGGCAATGGACATTCGTCTAGTAACAAGGTTATAACAGCTGGTCCCAATGGATCTTCCAATGGAATAACTCTAATTAAAGACTGGACAACATCCAACCATCCTTCATCTAAGGGCAAACCAAGAAGATTATATAAAGGAGTCACTAATTTGAAAACATGAGAACATACAAAAGGATTTCACATCAACAAAGCAACGTTTTTGGCCTTTATGCAGTGGCTTTAAGAAGCCAGAAAAGCTGACCTGGGTACTATCATAAATCCCTAGTTGCCATGATGGAGCCAAAACCCTGTTACAGGTATATTGTGACTCAAGGGCATTTTTAATTGGAGAAAAATTAAGCTATAGCCTTGATTCTCAGATTATGATTAAAATAGTTTTAAGCGACTCACTTGTTGAACAAGACTGAACTATGTAAACTCAGCACTTGGCTCGATTTTAGAATAATACTTAGGATACTGAAAAACAAACAATAGGACAAGTACAAAGACGCACCAATAAATTTTTAAATCTCAATGAAATGAGATACAGTCATCACTGAGACGAGTAGCTCAATATTGAGGATGCAATGTATGGTCCTTATTACACTTTTACAGGAGACTTCCATACACCCAGAACCTTTTCTATGTTACATATGGCATTTACAATCTTTTATCTTTAAAAAGGTAGTCATACATTTTTCAATATTTTTAATAGGAAGCATTAAAAATAAAAACTTTAAAATACCTGTTTCTGCCATTTCATGTAATGTAATCATTGAGTAGGGAGGTTCCTGATCACTGAAAAACAAATATTCCAGACATTAGACTTGAATTTAATTCCAAATAAAATTCAAACTGAAGTATGGGGCCAAAACAGAGATAAGAAATCAACATGAATGGATGTTAGGCAAGAGACAGAAGAGACGACAGTAAGAACAAATGTAGGCCATAGGTACTAGCTTCCAGTCATGGGATGGCGCCCAAGAAAAAGCAGCAGGTAGGGACACACAACCCCACTATGTGACCTGACGGAAAAGCAGATCACATACTAAAACTAGGGACAAGAGTTCTCAGCTTTATTTCTCAAGGCCCAGGGGCAGCTGACACATGCCAGAAAGGTCATCAGCATCTTCCTCACACTTACCTTGAACAGCTGTTAGGATGGGAGGTGGTAATTCCACCGAGGACTTAGGAATCAAGGGTCTACAGATATATTACACTTACAAGACTTACTCTAAAAAAAATCAGTTTGTTTAAACTTCATAAAATGTTAACAGACGAATCCAAAAACGAAAGAGCAAGAGGAATTATTTAATAATGTAGATAGCTCTCTAAAATGGAATTAGATGTCTCAATGGGTTTTCACACTGTCACCCCAGGCGTTCTAGAGAGGTGTTTTAGGGGAGCATCAGTGTTGAAACATTTTCCACCAAACAATGATAATTCAAATTGCTTAAGGACTCACCTTTTGTCTATAAGTTTTGGATTTCTGGTTTTTTTGTGTGGGTGTATGTGCAGATATGTGTGTGTTTGTGTGTGCGTGCACGTGTGGATGCAGAAGACTGATGTCATGTTCCATCACTCCCCACCATACTTTTCGGGACAGTGTCTCTCAGTGAACCTGAAGCTCACCATTTCAGCTAGACTGATGGCCAGTGAGCACCCCTGGGATCCACCTGTCTCCACTCTCCTAGTGCCAGGGCTATAGATGCACCCAGCTTCTTCCCAGGTGCTGGGGATCCAGAACTCAGGGTGCTCAGCTTGCCAGGTACTGGTCCTCATGCTGTGCAGCGAGCAGTTTACTCACTGAGCCGTCTCGTCAGCCCTGGGTTTCTGTTTCCTACTATGGACAAAACAAGCAAACAAACATAAAAGCTATTGTCTTCAGTCATTTAATCCTCAGAACAACTTTGAGATAAGGAGATTACTACATTTATCTCAGATGTTCATTAGGTGCTTGTTACTTGGCAAACCTGTGTCTTTTCACAAGGTGGGTTAATTATTTAAAAGGTGTTTGAGGGCCAGTGAGATGTCTCAGAGGGTGAAGGTGTCTGCTGAGCAAACCTGATGACCTGGGTTCTACCCCCGTCTTATTGTAGGAGACTCCCAAAAGTTATCCTCTGTCTTCCACATATACACCATACCCCAGGAGCACCCATGCCTCCCACCACGAACACAAATAAATGTTTTAGGTGGGGCACAGTAGCACATGCCTGTAATCTCAGTACTCAGGAGGTTGAGATAGGAGTTCTTGTCTCAAAATAAAAAAAAAAAAACACTTAAAAATATAACTATTGCACACATTCCCAAAGGACAGTATATCAATAATAAAGTCAAATATGCACATACCTAACATCTTTAGAGAAAGTTACATAGGTCTACACATAAACGTATATTTTTGCTATTTATCACAGGGTATTTGCAATAAGAATTTTGCATTTGCCTAAGTAACTATTACCATATGAAAATACATGACAAAATATGGTACTTATTTTGTCAGTTGGGTAGTGGTGGCGCATGCCTTTAATCCCAGCACTTGGAAGACAGAGGCAGGTAGATTTCTGTGAGTTCGAGGACAGCCTGATCTACAAAGGGAGTTCCAGGACAGTCAGGGCTACAAAGAGAAACCCTGTCTCTAAAAACAAAACAAAAAGGACTTTCAAGCATGCAAAGGAATTCTCTGTAGCAGCCAGAAGCAGGCATAGATTTACATATAGCAATACAGGTCTCAAACATAATAATGAGAAAAAAATTTTTTTAAAAAGTTTTCTATAATTAAATTGATAATGTACTTTTTAAAACCCACCCCAACCCCTCTCTATAGATATTCTTCTGATATAGATGCAAGTAAATGTAAGCTTGAAACTGGAACACAAGTATGATTACCTACTGATATGTGGAGGGGGTGATGAAAAAAATAAAATTCAGAGAAAAATAATAAAATGCAACAGAGCTAGCAGCCAAAAAGGTAAAGAAATACTGCTTGTCTATGTGGAGATACATAAAGGACACAAACACATCCCTCTGTCAAAGGAGATACATGTCCAATGAGGCTGAAACAGCAGACATTTCTGATGGACGGTGTGTCAGACGATTACCGAGCTGTAGGCTGTGAAATGGACAGAGGACTGAGGAGCTCAGCTTGCCTCATCTATGGTAGGACAGGAAAGCTGCACAAAGTAATCTGGAGCATGGCTCCCTCTCAGTGAAAGGAGTTAAGAAAGCTGAAGGGTAATTAGAGATACAAGTGCTGTAAAGTCTCCAGTGACAATTTTTTTTTTAGAAGGCAAAATAAAATTCATGTTACAGGCCTTATCTTTTTACAGAATTGGCAACCCAGAACTACCGATTTTAATTAGGTTACTTGGAGACTGGGGGAGCATATTAGCATGGCATAGTGAGGAAAAACAGAGGAGGAAATCTGCAGCTGGGTATGATGGCACATGCCTGTAACTGAGCCATTTAAGAGGCTAAAGTGGGAAGACCTCACACTGTGGCCTGCCCCACCTACACAGTGAGACCTTGTCTCAGAGAGAAAGAGGAAAAAGGAGTCTGTAAATTAAACTTCCAAACATGTTAAAAAAAATTCAAAACCCTAGCATTAAGATCATAACAATCTGAGCCACTATTCAAAATAAGCAAAGATTTTTAAAATGATTTTAAAATAAGCTTATTTGCAGGAACAACAACTATAAGAAGTACATTAAAACAAAATGGCCAAACAAAAACCAAGAAGCAGACATGAAAAAGAAAAGAAAATGGAATTCAGATATACCAGAAAGAGAAACTGAGTGAATCTGAAGAGAACATGCCTGTACTCGGCCATTCAGGAGGCTGAGGTGGGGAGAAAATCCTGAGTTTGAGAGACCTTGACTCAAAAAGGGGACAGAGGCATATACATACAGGGAAAAATACTGAAGGATTCACTTTGAATACCAGAAATATTCAAAGATGTAATAGCTGAGGATTTCCAGAACTGAAGAACAAACACAAGGGATTAAAATCAGGCAGCAGCAACAAGAAGAAAGCCGGGTATAAAGGCATGCTGCGATTAGGCCATTTATTTCAAAATAAAGTTTGGAGAACTAGAAAAAACAGCATAAAAACTTTGCTCCACAGCCTCTCTGCCATGGCACTGGGCACCTACTGTCTTCTCACACCAGCTGCATTTCTTCCTAAGTAAACAACAACAAAATCTAACCAAGAGACTATTTGGTAACTGCCACATCTACATTTGTAACAGATTTAGATATATTCTTGCTACATCCCTTTGTCCTGTCCTTTGTAGTTCTCTTTGACATTTCATCTTGACAACCTCAAGAACCAAGTTATAAAATTACCCTTTAGTATCTTCTGAAATCAAGTCAGGAACTTGATTTCTGGGGAGATGGCTCTGCAGGTAAAGCACAAGTGTGAGGACCTGAGTTTGAGTCCCTAGTACCCACTAAGAGTTTGGTGCAGCAATCCCAGAGATGACAGGCAGAGACAGAAGTCCTCCAAGTCTGCAGGCCAGTTCACAACAAAAGAGGCAGGTCTCAAACAGGCAGAGGGTGAGGACAGACATCCAGGTTGTCTGTCCTCCACACCCATGGCAAGCACGTGCCTTCACTCACACGATACATACATCACACACACAATAATAAAAATATAATTAAACTATAAAGCTGGGTTATCTCTGTAATCCCAGGTACTCTGGAGGCAAGGCAAGAGGACTGCAAGTTTAAGACCTGCTTTACTTTTCCAGTCTCAGAAATTATACTTATTCTATAGAGACAAATTTAAGTAGAAGTCACCTTGGTACTCAAGCATTAGTACTTGACTCCCTCCCCCACCCTTTTTTTTTTTTGGAGATAGAGTTTCTCTGTGTAGCCTCGGTTGTCTGGAACTCGAATTCTGAGATCTGCCTGCCCTTGCTGGGATTAAAGAGATTTGCTTACCTCTGCTGAGATTAAAGGCACACTTGCTTCTCCTATGTGAATTATTATGAGCTTGATTAACAAGAAGACTTAAAATTTGTAATGCTTGCTTGGAACTTAGAACTAAAGCTTGCTCCTATATCCTTTACACTTGCCTTTAAAATACAGCAAACCTACTCTGCACCTGTTTCTCAATTGCTCAATTAACATTGTTGTGGTTTACTTCCTTGTTTGGAAAGGATAATTTTCCATTATAGTTATATAATATGAAGGATAACTTTTAAAAGAAATATTCTTTTGTGTGTGTTGAATCTAGTTAAGAGCTTAATGGATATTAGTCAAGTGTTTTAACTTGAACTAATATCCCTAATCCCCCCCCCATTATTATTCTTGTAGATCAACAAATACTTCAGCACTGTGTGGAAGACTCTAATATAGCTCTAAGGATTTGTTTGTATATTTTAGGTGCACAGTGTTTTTTCTTTATCATTGTTTAAAGAATTAAACAAAACTGCTTTTATTAGTGTGATTATTAAATACTTAGAAATTTTCTAGCAGGGCCTAAAGCAAAAACTGAAAATGACTGCTGTCTTTTGAGCATTTCCTTTTCTATTTTTCTAATATTACTGAGTTTTTTAAAAAAGATTTATTTGCCAGGCCGTGGTGATGCGCACTTTTAATCCCAGAACTCGGGAGAGAGACACAGGTGAACCCCTGTGAGTTGGAGGTCAGCCTGGTCTACAAGAGCTAGTTCCAGGACAGGTAGGACTGTTACACAGGGAAACCCTGTCTCAAACAATCAAAAAAAAAAAAAAAAAGATTTATTTAATGTGCATTTGTGTTTTGCACTTTTAATCCCAGAACTCGGGAGAGAGACACAGGTGAACCCCTGTGAGTTGGAGGTCAGCCTGGTCTACAAGAGCTAGTTCCAGGACAGGTAGGACTGTTACACAGGGAAACCCTGTCTCAAACAATCAAAAAAAAAAAAAAAAAGATTTATTTAATGTGCATTTGTGTTTTGCCTACATGCATATCTGTGTGAAGGTGCCAGATCCCCTAGAACTGGAGTTACAGACAGTTGTGAGCTGCCATGTGGGTGCTGGGATTTGAACCTGGGTCCTTTGGAAGAACAGTCAGTACTCTTAACCACTGAGTCATCTCTCCAGCCAAAGAATAATAATTAAAAAAAAAAAAGAGATTAGAGAAGTACCTTGCTCAATGTGATAAAGTTAGTAATGAGCTAGAATCGGAATCTAGGCCCTTCGTGGTCTAACTTAGGCACTTACTAAATAACTTTGAACTTTTTTCAATTTGAACAATATCCTTTAATTTCACTGCCATTCAAACTTAGATTTTGTTTTTAGACAAAGCAGGAGAAGGAGAACACAGGCCCAGGTGTGCCCTGCAGTTTCAACTTACAATTTCTTCAAATGGCTCTAACAGGCTAAATAAGAAATAAGAAAGCAGGAGAGAGAGAGAAGTTGCACGCAGCCATATTCTTGGTAAGACTACTTATCTTGAATATATGACCAGCAGAACAGATTGGCAAGCACAGTAATGGATCTTCAAGAAAGCATTTTCTCATTTCCTACTTCAGCAAGTAACACAAACTCACTCTGAGGTTACTGGACTCCCTTATAAAGATCATGTTTTCAGTAAGAGTTTTCTGTACAGAAGCATTCAAACTTTTCCAGACAGGAGAAGATGACAGCAAGTAAAAACCTTATTTACTCTGCCAGAGGAGAAATAAGCATTCTCTCCTGGCCTAGGAGCACAAGGCTTGGCAAATAGAACTTAAATGAATGGAAGGGGTCGAAAAGTGGTGGTTCCTGGCAGAATACTTTCCATGACACTGGTGGCGACAGTAAGTCAGATACTTACTTATCTACAAGAGTCCGTATTACCGCCAGTGTATCCAGCACTAACCCATCCACATTTTGTTTCTTTCTCCTTGGTTCATGTGGTCCTCGGCCTCTCCTTGGAGGCCGAACAGGGTCCCGAGGTTGGCTCCTAATGTCAGCAGTAGGGACTGCACTGTTTTCAGCCTGCTGCTGGTGGGTGTCAACACTGTCTTCTGCTCCACTGTCATCTCGGCAGATACAGGAATTACCCATAGTAGTAGTGGCACCTGTAGTCCCCAACAAGTGGGCTATGTGCTCCTCGAGAGTCAACAGCAGACCCTGGCCAAGGCTTCTGCTTGCTAAGAACACAGCCCAACCAAAGACAATCATTTAGATAGTTTTCAATTTCCCAGGTACTGTTTCCATGATGTGGAGTTGAACTCGCATTCTATTCATTTTTAACAACTGCGTGCTGGAGAAGGTCGGACAGCTGACTTCCAACATTATCAACCACCAGGAATGCTGGCCATGCACTGGCAGTCCTACAAGAGAGGAAAAGAGAAAGGAAATTAACAGAAGATCGTGGTTACCCAATTACTCAAATTTTGCTAGTGTGGTTTTAATAGCATTCAGATTACAATGAAATATCACCTTGGTTATTTTTACAGGTTCCCATTATAAAGATATCTTTGGATAACAGATCAACAATTCCTTTTAAATTAAAAAATAAACATGATTGTTTTGTATGCATGTGATATATGTGGGTGTAAAAAAGTGCCCACCACAGCACATATAAGAAGGCCATGGGACAATGTTCAGAAGTCAGTTCTCTCCTACCATGTGGGTCCTGGGGAACGAATCAGGTTATCACACAGCACCAATAACTCCTATCTATCATTCATTAAATTTAAAACTGATTGATTGCTAAACCATATCCTTGTAAGCCACAGGACTTCTACTCAATGTTTAAAAACCATATATGTAGTTCCTATCCCTACAGAAATACATCTGACAAACTTACGCAACATTGGGGGGGGGGTGAGACAGGGTTTCTCTGTGTAGCTCTGGAGCCTATCCTGGAACATGTTCTGGAGATCAAGGCTGGCCTTGAACTCACAGAGATCGGCCTGCTTCTGCCTCCTGAAAGCTATGATTAAAGGTGTGTGCAACCACCGCCCAGTATTGTGCTACATTTTCAAAGGCTCCTTCTGTGATTAAAAAAAAAAAAATGAATCATGTCCTTTATTTAAACATATGGGAAAATTTAATGTTTCAAATAAAATATCTAATTACAGATATCTACTGATGAAAAAGTTATACAAATATCATAACTCCTATCTAATAATAAGAGCATGAAGGAAGCTACACTGATTTCCCAAAGGAGGATCACTCAAGAATTTAACAGAAATCAGGGCTGGGGAAATGGCTCACTCTATAAGCATGAGGATCCAAGTTCAAAACACCAGCACCCCCATAAAAGATGGCATGGCAGTATGTGCTTGTAAATTTAGCATTGGGAACCGGATCCTTGTAGATCCCAAGTAACGAATCTAGCTAAAATGGTCAGCCTCCAGTTCAGTAAAAGATTCTACTTCAAGACAGTAAGGCAGAGAGCAATAGAGGAAGACATTCCATATTCTGTTCTGGCCTGCCTCTACATATCCACAGAGGACATATGTACATGCACCACCCACCCATAGAGAGGAGGGGAGGAGAGGGACGGAATGGGGGGGAGGGAGAGGAACAGAGTGAGGGAGGTGGGGAAGGGGAAAGGGGAGGGAAAATTTATAGAAATCATGCAAATGGGTTACACACAAAGTTTTTCTGTTACATAAGGAAGATTGTTTAGAAAAATTGTGAATTGATGAAGTTATGTTCTTCGCAATGATTAGTCTGTTGCTACAAAGTTAAGAGTAAAATCACTGAAGGAGTCCGAGCACCTTCTGCCAAACATTAGGCTGAGACTAGGAGGCTAAAAACAGGGAAGGCAAAGTCCCTGCACTCCATGGATGGCTAGTCTCAACCCACACAATGTGCTGACCATCATACATGATGGAAACAGCTCTTCAATGATCTGAAAACATGTGACTAGGTTCTGGAATGAAGTCTTGGAAGTAGGAGATAGAAAAAGTGATGATAAGTAAAACTAAAACCAAAACAATAAAAAACTCCAACAATAGGCCAGGTGTGGTAGAGTATGCCTTTAATCCCAGCATTTAGGAGCAGAGGCAGGTGGATCACTGAGTTCGAAGCCAGCCTGGTCTACAGAGTGAGTTCCAGAACAGCTAGGACCATACAGAGAAACTGTGTCTCAGAAAAACAAAATAAAGTAACACCCCCCCCCGCAAAAAAAAAAACCAACAAAAAACCAACAAAAAAATGGAGATGAGAATTTTTTTCTTTAAGGTTTGAGGGCAATTTTATTAGAGTTTAATAGAAAAAACCTAGGGCAGGCAACCTGTAAATCTCAGTGGCTACTTTGGGGAGAAAAGAATGGAGAAGGAAAAATATCCATGCCATATGAGTTATATTGAAATGGAGATTAACTACACGGTGGGAAGAGAGACTTTGAGAAAGACTAAGAAAACTTAAAGTACCAGAAAGCACTAACTCTGGCCAGTGTCCAGAGGGTCAGAAAAAAGGAGAAGGTGTATCATTCAGAAAGGTGGGCAGACCCAACAGAACCTCACGGCAGTTTGTAGAGAAGGCCAAAATGTTTACCTACACAAACACACACACACACTTATGCATATACATACATACTTACAAGGATGTAACTGAATATATAGGTAAGAAAATGACACAAGGACTCAGCTGGAAATAGGTTTTTTTAAAAAAAAAAAAAACATAAAACATACCCTAAACTCACAAAAGCTGTATTATATTCCTATTACTATGAAGGCCAGAGTAAAATTCCCTCTTGAGATTGAAATCAAAAGTTTTCAATGCTTAACAGACAAAGGAGAAAGAAACCAGAGATAACTTTACTAAGTTAAAGGGGTTTTATAAATTAAGCCGATTTCTGAAAAAGACCAAGTGACATTTAAAAATACACGCTCTAAGTCAGGCCTAGCAGCAAGCAGGTGACTACACTTCTAGCACTTAGGAGGCTGAGGCAAGAGGATTGTGAGTTTTTTTTTGTTTTGTTTTGTTTTTGTTTTTGTTTTTGAGACAGGGTTTCTCTGTAACTGTCCTGAAATTTGCTTTAGACTAGGCTGGCTTCAAATTCATAGAACTCAAGATCTGCCTGCCTCTGCAACCCCATGTGTTGGGAATAAAGACATGTGAGTTTTAAAAGCCCGCATGGGTTATATAGCATGACACTGTTATATGTGTGAGCTCATGTTTTGGCCCTTTCTGTCTAATAATCCACAAGGCTGCTCACAACCACTTACAACTCCAGTTCCAGCGAATCTGGTTTCCAACACATAAATTCATGCAAGTAAATACATCTAACATAGATAATAAATATATCTTTAAAAAGAGAAAAGAACAATGTTAAAAGCACCCAAGAAGAAGGCAATTTGTTGGGTCTCAACAACTTAAGACTTCATCCTATCTAAAATTATTTTCCTAAGGCTTGTATATGTTTAGAATAATTAATTCCTTAATGTAGATTTTTATTTAGTATAATTTTAAAGTGATTTGAAGATACTGCATACATGCAAGAATTTTTAAAGCCTGACTAAGTTTGAAGTAAGAAGGGAAAAATTAAAAGTTTTTTTTTTTTAATTTCTGAATTGAAGTCAAGTACATTTTGGGTCACTGCCTTCAATAATCCAGAAAACAGTGTCCACTATAAATTTCTTAGGAAGGATATGGGATATGGAGTGTATTTTGTGGGGAGGGTGATGTGGTTTGTTTATAAATAATCTCACTAAGCTGTCCAGACCCAGTTTGGCATTGAATTCCTGACTTGTGTGATTCTCTGTCTCAGTCCCCCAAATAGCTATGACTATTGGCATAATGCTACCAGCCTAGTTAAATAGATTTTTTAAAGTTTTCAATTATTTTAACAGTAGAGAGACTTTTTCTCCCTTTGCTTTAATTAATTTTGTTTTGTTTTATCTAGACAGGATTTCACTATGTAGCTCTAGCTGTTCTGGAATTCAGGCTGGCCTCGAACTCACAGAGATCCTCCTGTCATTGCCTCCCAACTGCACAGCACTATGACCACTAGAGACTTCTTCTTTTTTTTTAAACAAAAAGCTATAATGACCAGGTGTGGTGTAGGTGGTAGAAGCCATGAAAGGTTACACAGAAGATCACTCATGAAACATAAAGAAAAAATTAGAGCAAAAACATACAAAGAAAAGGCATATAAAGAAAAAAAACTATCTTTAAAGAGTTTGTGAAATGGCCATATTCTTTAGGCTTACAGACATGGCACACATATGTACAATGTATAAACTCCTTCAGCTTCATTCAGTACTACAAGTGCATAGCTTCATCCTTAGAAGTGGGAGCTACCATGACATGCTTCCTCATTGGAAAGAAGCTGTGACTACTAGTTATTCGGGTGAGAGGGTAAACAATTACACTTCAAACAACTTTGTTTTGTCTCTAAAGTAAAGAGGCAGTATGTGTTCCATTGCCAAGGACCACTGCTTCAGGACAGTATCGCCAGCTACAGTTTTTGCACAGGATACCAGAGGCCACTTGAAGCACAAGCACAGTACATGGACATCACAGACAGGCCTGGGTACAAGTCCCAGCTCTGCTCTGTTTACTGGCAGGCACTCTAATGAATCTGACCATGATACACTTTACAGAGGAAGACAGTAATAATTCTTACCTCACAGTAACTCCGAAGAGTCAGAATTCACATTTCTAGGATGTGGCCCAAGCCTGTGACTACTGAAAAGCTCCCTAGGTGATTCTGATGTCAGCCAAGTCTGGAAATCACTGTTAGTTCCTGGCACAGAACCTGGCATCTACTGAAAGAATTATGGGGCAGACTGAAATACTTAGTGGTTCTTGTGAGGTCAAGTATATCAACATTCCTTCCAGAAAAATACAGATTATTTTTAAATGCTTGGAGATGACAGCCAAAATAGCCATTAAGAAATAGTCATACCTACAAAATAGTGGGGATGAAGGAGGGCTCCAATATGAATGTTTAAAAATTTCATAATAAAACACTTTAATTAGTAAAAAAAAACAATAAAAACAGCTCCATATAGTATTTTTCATCAGATCTACCCTGTAAAACATCACTAAGAAAGTAGATGGTATCCTGCTTATGGGTACATTACCCAGAGTTTGAGAAAACTACAGTTTATATAAAAGCAATACACTTTTAATACCTATAAACTTCAACATTATCTTTTTTTTTTTCTTTTTGGTTTTTCAACACGGTTTCTCTGTAGTTTTGGAGACTGTCTTGGAACTAGCTCTTATAGATCAGGCTGACCTCGAATTCACAGACATCCTCCTGCATCTGCTCCCAAGTGGTGGGATTAAAGGCGTGCACCACCAACACCCGGACAACATTATCTTTTCCCCATTAGCTCAAAAAGTCAACTTTAAGACCAAACATAAA